TCATAAGTGTTGATTAATGTTTCAAAAGTGCGAGCAGATTGAATTGAATTTGCTGACAAATCACACCATATTTTGAGAGATGGTCCAAGATCAAATATAGATGGAAGAGTCTTAGTTTCATGTAAATGATTAAGCATCATGTCTCTACTTACTCCCATTAAAGTATAAAATTATTCGTTAACAATTCTTTAAGAAAGTGAACTAGAATCTTTGTTCACCTTTTGGATTGTACATTGGTATGGAAAATTTTGAGCAATTTATTCAACATTAAGTAGATCTTCATTAGAAATGTAAGGCTATTCAATGTAGTCATTCAAGATTTGATGACGTTCTTATACTAGTTTAGCAGCTAATTAGGCATGTGGATCTGATTAGTTAAATAACATATTTGTAATCTAATCGATTGAATGGTTTGCTTAGTCTAGTAATTCGAGAGTATAAAAATAGACGTCATCTAATTGGTCTGTACGTGAAACTCTATAATTGTAGGTACATGGAGTTTCTTTTAAACCCCCTAAACAATGGTCAGGTATGTAAGAAAGAGCCAATTTAAGTTCGACATTTGATTTGATATAGACATGTTCTTTAAAGGGTTTAGGTATTGACACTAAGCACACGAGCTGTTTAATAGGTTGACGTTTTCTGGTTTAGTTTTCTAAGTTTAAAATGGGACTTACTTTTTTTTTAAATATCCTTTGATAAGATAGAATGAGTAATGGACTCATCATGCATCCCTACTCTTTATCTGACAATGAGACTCATGTTTGAAAATTAAATAATTATTATATAATAATTTTGCAAATCATTCGGATATAATTGAACTTTATCATCATTATTACTTTTTTTGCAAATCCAAATGTAAAATTTAATTTATATTATCAATATGATTCTAATATTAATTTGTAATTATAATAATTATAAATGATTAATTTTATAAAATAAATGTCAATTAAGAGTAGACATAATAATTATTATTAAATAATATATATAATATGAATTAGTGATGATAATTTGTAAAAAAATATAATTTTTATTGTTTGAAAATCTAATTGACAAGCATAAACTATATAAGCTAAGCTGCCACCCGTTTTCTCTTTGTTTGTGAGTGACCTTGACAAACAGATTTATGTACTAATCTGATGCTTCGAATGTCACTCTCCATTAGAATGATAGACATGTATTTACTATATGATAGTATATATAGTTAATTTAATATTATGGGAAAAGCATTAATTTAAAATGGATCAAATTTTATTTTGTATAAATGAGAAATGCACTTCCTAATCAAGGTTATTATTAACTATGGCAGATGTACCTAAACACAATGATAAATCTCATAAAGTAGTATAATTCAAGGAGTTTAAATCATATGTCATGGAAAAATATGGAGATGTAGATCTATAGAAAATTCAGAAAATTACAAGTAATGAAAAGACAATAAAGGATGCAATTTCAAAGATAATAAAAGAGGTAAAAGAGAAGTTAGATCTATTTGAAATTAATGAAATTAAGTATTAAAGAAAGATAATGAAAAAATTATAGGAAGATGCCGAGTTTACAATAACTTTCAGAATATGTGTGGACAGTGAGAAAAACAGAGAATTTGAAAGACATAACAGCTGATTTGTTGAAGACTGTAGTAGAATTCTAAGTGGAAAAGATACCCAAATACGGTTTCATTTTAGAACAGATAGATGATCGTATGAATAAGTTGAAAACTGAAGTCATTGGAATGTTGAAATCTTAGCAATATGATTTATAGATTACTACATTGGGTAATGTTAAATACACATGGAGTGATTAATTTAAGGCAAACATTTATGCTATTAAAGATGAAGCAAAAAAAGAGATTGAAGCATCAAGTATATAATTCTTCATAATATTATTAGCATCATTTATGGGATGGTCATTTGCATGCATCTAATAATAATTGACTTCTTAAAAGAGATGGGAAGCAAAATTAGAAATTAGAGCTATTGAATTAGATTAAAAGAATTTGTAAGCTAGTTAATTGGGATAGTCTTAATTAAAGAAATAATCATATAGTTTTGCTATAGGATTAACACTCTAAAAATTGAGACAACAAAAAGGATTTGAATAATAAGATTTAGCTACTGTAGGTCATGGCTTTTATTTAATTAGATCTGATGGATGTAATAAATATTAATATCTTTATGATAGGGACTTGTCACAATTCAGATAAAAATATAAATTGGAAATAAGGATTGGCATTCACTCCTGAACCTAAAGATGTGATATTAATTAAATTTGATCCTACTGATGGTGATCTTCTATTTGAACAAGGCAAGAATAAATACTAGATGAAAGTGGAGAGAGCTTAAAATGAAGTGTTTTTATTTTGTGTACACTTAAAAGGATGTAAGGCCAAAATATTGGATTGAGAGATAAACAATATATATATATAATATTTCAAATTTTGAAATTTATGATTGAAGAGGAGGGATAGCAACTTAAAAGTTAATTAGAATAACAACTTGTTGAAGCCATTTTAGATTCTCTTCAAAATCATATGGATCAAAATGCCACCTTTTTAGGTAATCATTTCTGAATTATCTATTTTCTAGCTGAAAGATTGGTATATGAGAGAGATACTGAAGAATTTAGATCATTATTGGCTGAATGTTACTTATATGAGAATTAGCCATATAAAGCTAGTCATATTCTTAAAGACTGCAAATCTGAATTCAATCGGTAGAAAATAATTTTAATACCATTAGTTATTAATATGCAGTGTCTTTATTCAGAAATAAGAAATATAAGGAAGCTGAAGTTGCATTAGTTGGAACTTAATTTAGCAATTAATTTTCTATTTAAACTCCAAATATACCGAATGGTGGTTTTGGTTACCTTTTATTAGGTTAAATTTAAGAATAACTACATCGTATTGATGAGGCTAAACACTAATATTATAGAGCTTTGGATTAGAATCCTACTTTATGGATGGCTTTTGAAAGACTCTCTAAAATTGGGGAACCTGTTGCAATTAATAAAGTGTTTAATGATCAGAAATAGCGATAATATGAAGGTAGTAGATAATAGAGTTGCAATATTTATAAGATAATTCAAAATTTATTAAAAAATAAGACAACTAATTTGAAATCAGGATAAAAAGAGGAGGAAATAAGAGATGAAGCATAAATAAATGAATCTGTAATATTCAATTAATATTCTTAATAGTAATTTTCAGGCAAAAGATAATCTTAAACTATCAAACCTTTTTCAACAACTGGTATTTAATAATCAATTGTTCATATGGATGATTCTTCCAATAGTTAAATGAAATTTTTATGTAATTTACATAATTAAAATTGCAATAGAACATCAATAAAAAAAAATAAGTGCTAAAATGGTGCCAACACCTGGAGTAGGATACTAAAATTATTAATCTTTACTTAGTCAACCTTTTTAATTTTCATAAAATTAGAATAAGAATTTAAATACAAAAAAAAATGATATTCAAAAAGTTAACACAGTAGCAATTTAATAATCTCCTAGTTTAATTAAGTATAATTATATAATATTTATTAGTCTACCTTAACTTTTAAAATTATTTGCGCATCCATATTTCTTATGGACTAATTATTAAGTTGAAGCAATTGCTAATTTTTAAAAGCTACCTCCATAACATTATAGATCAGGATGGGTGCTTGAAAAAGTAGCCAGAAGTTTTATGGATTAAGTAAAATATGCTGATGCTGAGAGAATTTGGAAGGAAATGAAATAAATAGAGCCAAATCGTTTAGAAGGTATGGATTATTATTCATCTTGTTTATGGCATCTAAAAAAACAATCAGAATTAACATATTTAGCTCATTCTTGTTTATAAATTAGTATGTAAGCTCCAGAGACATGGATAGCTATTGGAAATTGTTTTAGTTTAAATAAAGAAATAGACAATTCAATTAAATTTTTTGGAAGAGCAATTTAATTAAGAAAAGATTATTCATATGCTTATACTTTATCAGGTCATGAATTTTCACAAAATGAAAATTTCTAACAAGCTAAAAAATCTTACGATATTGCCACTTCTTTAGACTAAAGATAATATAATGCTTGGTGGGGACAAGGAAATATGTACTATAAAACTGATAAATATGATGATGCAATTAGATGTTTTACTTAAGCTTTGAAGATTAATTAAAATAATCCAGTTTTACCAACATTTTTGGCTATGAGTTATGCTGCCAAGGGAGAACATAATGAAGCTTTAAAATACTTTGAACAAAGTGAAAAATTAGATCCATAAAATGGATTAAATAAATATTAGAAAGTATTTATATTATAATGATAAATGATAGGCAAATTCATTAATAAAATTAGATTAATATGATAAAGCTTTAAGTGAATTATAGAGATTGAGAGAATTGATACCAAAAGAAGCAGCAATTTATATTTTGATGGGGAGAATCTATAAGAAATTAGGGGAGATTTAAGAAGCATAAAAGTATGAAGAATATATTTATATTGTAGTTGTTTTAGTACTGCAATGTCACTTGATTAAAAAGATTCTGCTAAGATAAAAGGATTAATGGAAAGTTTAAATAATCCGAATAGTGAATTCAATGATGATTTTGATTTATGATATAATTTATCAATAAATATGCTCATCTACAGCAATTTAGATAAATTCTTTCTTATAATCTCCAACAGACTCTGCTCCTGTTGCTAATTAATTGATACGAGCAGTTCGTACTAAGAATTCTTGTAATTCTTCTTTCTCACATAATGTTTCTAATGATAGACGTCTAATCCAATCAAACCCTGAAAAGGCAATTCCTGTCAAAAACATATATTTAGGATATTGATGACATTCTAATATTCGATTGTTTCTTACTATATAATAATGGTTGTCTTATTACACGACTAACAGTCATTCTGATACCCATTCCAAAGAGACATCCGAATATAAATGCACTTTCCATTATTTTATTATTAATATGAACTGACTGATATTATTTTAAAATTCAAATATTAAATTTATGAATAGACTTAATTCTCAACCTAAAACAAATAATCAAGGTAGAATGACTCCAATTGAATATATGATTCATAAAAACATTCCACTTCCAAATAAAGCAAAATATCCTTAAATAGATTCAGAGGCAAGTTTACATAGATCTGAAATTATTCATTAGAACAATAATAGTAGTAATTACTCAAATGGTTCAGAAGGAAATAATATTTAAAAAATAATTGAAGAAAAGAATAGAGAAATTGAATTCTTAAAATAAGCAGAAGCTTAAAGTAGAATGTTAACTACTTAATTTTAAGAAATGAATCAGAATCATTAATTAGAGGTTAAGTAATTGTTAGAATAGATATAAAATTATAAATAAAGGAATATTGATTTAAAGAGTCAAATTGAATAGTATATGACAGAAGTCAATAAATCAAATTAAAAATATTAGGAATGTTGCAAAGAAAGAGATGAATATATAAAAAATCTAAAAGAATATTAATAAGATTATGATATTATGAAAATGTAATTATAAGGGAAAGATGTTGAAATAATATAATTAAAAGAAAGAATTTAAAATATAGAACATAATCATTAATAAGAATTAAGTCAATATTCATAAACTAATGATAATTGGAAAAGATCATTGATGGATACTTAAATTAGAGAGATTACTTAATAGTTCAATTAAGATAGAATATAATATGATATAAAAATTAAAAATTTAGATAATAAAAATATTGAATTAGAAAATAAATGTGTTTTATTAGCTTAAGAAATGGAAAGAATGCGAGTAAAAGAATTAGAATAAAATAAAATGATGAATAAAAATTTATAAAATGAAAATAATGAATTAAAAATAAAGATTTAAGAAATGATGTAATTTATAACTAGATATGAGGAATAAATTAATGAAATGGAATATCATTAAGATTAAAATTAAAAAGATAGAATGAGAATTGTTGTATTAAGTTCTGAAATTGAAAGATAAAATTGTATTATTGAAGAATAATAATAAAAAAGTTAATCTTATAAATAATAAATTTAGAGTTTAGAACAATATGAGATGCAATGTAAATTATTATAAGAATAATAATTATTAAATAATTAATTGAAACAATAATTACATTAAGAAGTTATGAAAAATCAGAATACATAATAAGACTTTGAATATTTATAATAAGAATGGACAAATAGAAATTAATAGTTATAAGATAGATGTGCAATGTTAACAACTGAGCTTGAGAGATTACATTTAGTAACAAGAAATAATGAAAATTAGAATAGGAATCATTAATATGAAATTGATTAACTTTAAAAGTAATTAGGAAATCATATATAAATTATTGAGGAGAAATCTAATATGATATTATAATTAGAAATGGAAATAAGTAATTATTAATAAGAATCTATGCTATTAAATAGTGATAATGATAATCTTAATATGAGAATAACTTAATTGGAAGAAGAAATCTAGGAATTTAAAGATTAAACATCCTAATAATAAAATAGGAGATCTTAGGAGTTAAAATAACAAATTGAGTATTATGCAAATGAATTAAACAGAACTGCATATAATTATAATTAAGTAAATGTAGATAAAGAGAATATGTATTAAGAATTAGAAAAAATTAATAGAGAATATAAAGATTTGATATTCACATCTCAATAAAAAGATATTTAAATCAAAGACTTAAATGATTAAATATAATTAATAGAAGATAAACATTAAATTGAAATAAATGAGTTAAAGAAACAAGGAGAATATCTAAGAAGATCTGTACTTGATCAATAAATTAGAGATTTAACTTATAAATTTAATAATGATAAATAAATTCTCGAAATGTAGATTAGATAATTGTAATAATAAAAATAATAAGTTGATATGTAAAATACATAGTTGTAATAAAAACTCTAAGAATTATAATATACTGTTGATGATCAATTAGAAATATAAAAATAAAAATTGTAAACAAGTGAGAAAGAAAGAATCAATTTATTATAAGAAATAAAAGATTATTAAATGGAATTACAAATGATATCTAATGAAAGATTATAAATGAAGGAAGATTTTATTAAAGAAAGAATGAAAATAGTTATATATGCTACTGAAATTGATAGATTATTGTGTATTATTGACGATTTATAGAATTAAATTAAAAAAGTTGAACAATAAAACCATTTGTAAAATGATTAAATAAAGTAATTAACATCAACAATCTAATAATAACATAATACAATATATACATTAGAATAAGAAAAGAAAAATCATTAAAGAGACAATAATTATAAGGAATAGAATTTAGAAAATAAAATGATAGTAATGACAAATGAATTAGAGAGAACAAAAAATTAATTATATGAAGAACAAAGTAAAGTTTATGAATAGGAAATTAAATAGAAATCATTATTATAGGAAATAGAAGAGTTATATTAATAAATTGAATAATATTAATCAGAAATCACAATTATGTAAAAGAATGGTTTAGAATTAGGTGATTTAGAAACTAAGTTTTAAGCAGAAAGAATGTCTTGGGAAACATAAAAATATTAATTAACCAATTAAATTTAAGATTATGAATAGAAAATACTTTTATTAAATTAAGAAATAAAGAGATTAACTATTATTGGAGATGAAAGACTTCATGAAATTGAAGAATTAAGATTCAAATTTAGAGATGCTTAATTAACTGAAAACTATGAATAATTAAAAACAGAATATGATCAATTAGAATAATAAGTAATGGAATTAGAATAAAACAATTTAAAATTAAAATCTCATACTTAAACTTTAGAAAAATAGATTTAATTGTTAGAATTATCATTATAAGATAAATCAAAGGAAGTTGAAGATATTTATACTTTAATGAATAAACAAAGGAGACAAAGTGAATCCACTAATAAAGAAGCTGAAAATAATAGAAAAACATAATAATTATTATAATAAACTATCTCAAATTTAGGACAATAGAATTAATAATTAAAAGAACAATTTTAAACTGTAACTAATGAAAATCAAAGCTTGTAATATTTATTTATTTATTAATTATAGATTATCATAAATACAATATATGTAGAATAGTCTTAATGAGAGAGATTAAATGATATAGAAAAAGAGTTATGAATTGATTGAAAAAATCAAAGAAATTGATACTCTTAAAGTGAAATATGAACAAAAAATCAATAACTCCATTATTCAGTCTACAATTATAAGAGTATTTTTTATTTCATATCTTTAGAATTCATCATTAACTAGATAAGTAATTAAAACTGATTAAGAGAATTTTATCAACGATCCTGTAATTAAATCCAAAAATACTTTTAATTAACTTACAAATGTAAGACCTCCTAGATAAGTGATGTCCTAAATTAATGCAGATTTAAATAATTAGTAGGAATGATTCAGCTACAAACTTTATTTTAATATTAAATATAATGTCTCAACAAGTCTAAGCATCAATTCAATACTCTTTTCCCAAGGCTCAAAGATTTAGAAGACTACATACTCCTTGTTCAACAGACTATTATGAACCAAATTATTTTCGCAGCACTAGAGCCTCAGGATTCGGATATGGCAATAAGTTTGATTTTACAAAAATGTAATCCTATACTGAAAGTTTCTATGATCCAACTAGTTCCTTTTCAAATAACAAAGGTGCCTCCTTTGGGTTGAGTAGAAACATGGTCAAAAACAGATCCTATCTATAATATAACAGTGTTCCAGGTCCAGGATCTTATTTTTTTAGTCCTAAAAAATCTATTGGCTACTCAATTGGATAGAGAGTAGGAGGATATCATCACACTACTGAAATGCCTGGTCCTGGTGCATATGATCCAAATATTTATAAGAACAGAAGCATATCTATCAACAAAGGTCCTGATAGATTCTCAACTGAATCCACATTTTTTCCAGGACCTGGAGAATACAATGCCTAACTTATATAAACTTAAACTAAGTGCCGATTTGGTAGTGCAAAAAGGAAGTGTTTTATAGATGATGCTATTAGAGCAGCTAAAAAAAGTGGAGGTAATATTTTATTCTATGCAACTATCCTAGTTCCTGGTCCAGGTAACTATGCAACAATTACATAATTTGTACAATTAGATAAATAAAAGAGTAGACCATCTACTGCAAAACATTGAATTTTAAGATACTTTACATAAACTACCTTATATATATATGAATTTATTACTTTTTGTTACACAGACAGTAAATTCTGAATTTCCTGTTAATAAGGATTGAAGATAATTAAGCCAAATTGTTAGTGTCCTTGATTAGACCTTCAATCACTTAAAGTTCCTAAATATAAGAGGATGATCTTCATTATATCTATTATGGGAGATGGAGAAAAATGAGTTAATGAATTTTGATAGTTAGTTGAAATTAAAGATTAAAAAAAATAATGTCTAAGTGACACTATTTGTTTTATTTTGAGATTCCTCATATCCTAAATTCTAGGAAATTAAGACCTCATTCTTGTATTAATTTAAAAGAATTCCAAAACAAATATATAAGTGATGAATAGAATTCTTATTTAATTACTTTTAATAGGTTATTTAACCTTTTTAAGAAATGTATCACTCAAAAAATAATTTAAAAATTACATATAAATAGATCAATAAGATAACAATTATTAATAATACAGAATTGATTTATTTATTAATATAAATATGAATGAAAAGAGTTTAAATTCTATAGAAATATCATTTTAATTTGTAAAACTTATAAATTATTGATTTCAAATTACTAAGGATTATTGAATAAATGTGTGAATTTATAAAGTCATATAATCAAAATATATTGTATATTTCATGAAATAATTTAAATAATTTATTAATTTAATAATGATCTTTAGATAAGTTTTGACTGATATCATAACTTCAGCCATATAAATATCTGATCTAAATTTTGAGCTAATTATAAAACTAAATATATTAATGGAAATTATCTGTATATAGAAATAGAAATTTTAATCAAGTTCATATGATATCTAACCTTATTTTTTTAATTAGAAAAATAATAATATTATATAAACTTAGTTATAGTAGAATATAAAAGAAATAAATAACCTTCAAAATAGGAAGAATATTTTACTCAAAAAACTAATTTGATGACAAAATAATAAACTATTTGAAATCAAATAATAATAAAAATAATAGAAGAAGATTGATTATAAAATAAAATTAGGAAAGGATGAACAGCATTTTAGTTAGATCTTTTTTATGATTTATTAAGGGATTTAGTAATTGGAACATAAAAATGACAAGTAGTGCTTAGATATATTAATTATGTTGGGATTAAAATGATAGAAACAATATATTGTTGAATGCTTGATGAAACAGGGTTTATAATATATATATATATATAATTTCATAAAACAGCAGGGTTCTTATTTAATGGTTATATCAAATCATTTCTTGGTTTAAAATAGTCAATAATATGATTTATAGCTCCAATCATCATTACACTAATCCAAACTACAAAAATGTAGGCACAGCACATTGTAAAGAGTTCAATTTCTCTACATTTTGATTTGGTTGAAAAGAAGTGCTGTTTGATTCCGTAGAGCATAGATAAAACATCAAATATAATCACTCCTCCAAAAAAGACAAATGTATTAATTGTAATACAAACTGCTCCAAATTTTCTTGTACATGTGTCCAATAAATTGCAGGCACTCAAGAACTGTATTATGAAGATTATCCCATATCTAAAAATATTAATTGGAGAATTACACAATTAAGTTTCCATATAGGATGAAATGTAGAAAACCTGTTCCTTCAGGATCATTACATTGAAAGTCTTCTGTCACTATTTTATCAGTGCAAATTGAGAAGACAAGAAATATGAAATTATTCAAATGCACTAAAGAATTTATATCTAATCTCTAAGCCATTTCCATTATATTATATTTATATAATCATAGTTATGCATATTTCATCAATTTTTCCTTGTAATAGTAGTATTGATTTGAACTAACGAATAGTTAGTAATCTAACAGTGTTAATAGTTCCTTTTCAAGCGAGTTTAGCTCTTAAAGTGTAACTCCCCCAACTCTAGCATAGTAATCATTCTTATAGTAGTCATCATCATTGTATTTAATACTTAAAAGAATGCAAGCTAACAGAAATCTATGGTTATAATGATATATCAACCTATGAACACAATAGCTATTTATAACAACATCTTAGTTCCTCTCTTGCACTTTATCTATATATATCAGTGCCAATATGAAACACTCATTGCTGCAATAAGAGAACATCTTAATACGTTCGATATATTTATAAATTGTGATTTAGGGTTTTTTAATAGTGTGAAAGACTGTTTAAATTGGACTTTCAATAATGTCTGTTTCTATCACAATTTCATCCAAAACTTTGGCTATTGCATAAATAATATTATCTTTTAGGGATTCCTCCAATCCTCCTTCCATAACCATATTCATTTTTCCCAAAAGATATATATATGTGTATAAATTATATATATTATTTAATATAAAATTATGATATGATATTATAACTTAAATGACAAATACTTGTTCAAATTAATCATATATTCAATTAATTAGAACTGCCTTATAATATTTTGATTAGCAGTCTTAAATTATGCTTAAAATTACAATTATCTATTTAATAATTATAAATACCATTAATAAATCTTAAATATTGTATTATAGATATGAGATAGCATCAAATATTTCATTTTTATTGCTCTTTAGATTTGATTAGATTATCAATTATATCAATATTTACAATCAGAATTTCAGAATAATATTTACAAAGCATAAAAATCATTTAATATTTTAATTTGGGGTTGTCTTTTCTAATTTTACTAATATAATTTCTAAGATCGAAACAATGAAAATTCATGCTACAAATACTCTTAATAAAAGTTAAAGAAATAGTAAATTACCTCTAAAAATTGGTCCTACATTCAAAAAATATTAAAAATTTTGAGTTCAGTAAACAGAATACATTTTGAAGAAATAATATTATTTTTATTGTAAATTTTGTGTATAGATGGGTTGTGTATGTACAAAAGAGAAGAATACCAAAAATGAATTGGCTCATGAGTTTATTCCAAGCCTTATTTTCAAATCTGATAAGAAGGTTTCAGAAATAAGTGCAATAAATTGTGCTGATTTAGTATCAAAAGATGTATTTGCTATGAAGATTAGACATTTAAAGAGCTTATCGATATGATGATGTCTATTGATTTTATTTATTTGTTGATATTATACATAAATTTATTTTGATAAATACTTTAAGAATTTTAGATGTAATATTAGTTTATGCATAAGAAAGTTTGATAAATCAATTGGTTTTTAATTATAACATACTCTAAAATGGATTTTTGAAATTATAATAGACAGAATGATAATGCAATAAATTATGTTTAATTTCTAAATCCTAATTTTCTAATTCCATTAATTAAAGTTAATCTTTGATTGGCATGATATCATCAGTGATTTAGAATTCCTCAAAATTGGAAATTTTATTTGTTTATTATTTTTAAGAATGTTCACTTGAATCCGAATTTAAAAAATCAACTTATATACTTTAATGACTTCCAAAAGAGTGTTACATACTAATTGATTGTTGACTATTAAAACAGGAAGAAGCATTTGAGTCAACATGAAAAGTGATTGTATGAAGATGTCTTGAACTTATTTTTTCAACAGACCTAAAATATTATATATTAAATATACAGTCTTATATGCTAATAACTATCGTATTTATTTTATTTTTAATTATTATTTATTTTATCTTAGCTAGTTTTTGAATTAACCAATTAAGTGTTTGACCAATCAAAAATTATATATTATTTATGATTAATTTTCAATTAAAAAATGGACTTCAACTTCTAATAATTTGGTATTTATTGATGATTCAATTATGCCAATTAAATCATATAACTAAATTTTTGTTTTGTCATTACTTTAATAATTATTAAGGACAGCCTTCACATATTTCTTGTAATGGTATTTCACATTTTAATTATCCAATCCTTTCTAAACGATCACAATCACATTTTTCATAATTAGACCAAGGTAATTTCTGTTTAAAAAGATATATCAGAACATAACCTAAAGATTCTAAATCATCCCTTCTAGATTAATCTAATCCTTAATGAGCTGTTGCACTAGCATATCTGCTAGTCCCAATAAATGGAATTTTTGTTTAACTTTATTTCTTACTTTATATATAATCTTTTGCAATCCCAAAATCAATTAATTAAATTTAATCTGAATGCCTTTTACCTAAAATATTTTCTGGTTTTAAATCTCTATGTATAATATTCCTAATAATATTCTTATAAAATACTTTTTATGAATATTTTCTAATATCTCTATCATTTATTAAGCTATATTGAAAATACATTCAATTGAGAATTTCTTATGTTTTTTCAAGAAATAAATTAAATCAAATCCAAGCATCTTTGTAATCATAACTTAGAATTCATTATGTCTTCCATGCCAAAGTAACTAAGGCACTTATGGTATACCTCGTAATTTCTTCAATATTTTTACCTAATAATAATGTCTCTACTAACCTCTCTTTCTAAACTTAAACTATTTGACATTTCTTATTTTTCAACCTTTATTGCTACTTTCATTCCACTCTCAATATTTCTTCCTAAATATACCTTGCCAAAGGAACCTTAAGAAAGAAGTTTCTTAACTTTGTAAATATTCCCTATCAAATCCCCTTATTGCAATTCATTCATTGTCTATTTTTTTAATTAATATTTTTAATATAAAGTTTCATTGATTAAATTAATTTAATAAAAATGTTTTGATAATATTATAAAATTATACTTTTTATGAATAATATTTAAAATCATTATTTTTTAGTTTTACTAGCTAACATACTCTTACTATTCTTATCTTGAAAAAATAAATAGCATATAATTATTTTATGTTTCAAAATTTTATCATGTCTACAAAACTATTTTAAATAGCTTTCTCTTTAATAATTATATCCATTTTTTTTAATTATAGATTTTATTAGTAAATTATTTAATTTCTTTGTTAATCTTTTTATATATGTTCTTTATTAGTCTCCAAATAAATTTGTTTTTATTTAGAAGAATAAAGAGATATTATTAAATTTATAAATTTTAATAGGTTACTATCCTAAAAACTTTTCTATTCTTTCAGTTACATAAATCTATATTCTCTTAAAATTAAAAAAATTTTTCTTTCAATTTTTCAAATTTAATTTTAGCTTCCATAAGACTGTCTTAATAATTATAATATGGATTGCTCAAAGTTAAAATTAAAAAATGTTCAATTTAAATGTTTTAAAGATATTCCTTTTTTAGGAGTTTATTTTTAATTCATAACCTTCTCTATCACTTTTATCAATTATATATGTGTTTATCAAATTATTAATATATCAATAAATCATCATTAAATATTGAGAACTAGTTTGGAAAACTGAAACTGTCAATATAATCATAGGTTTGTTTCTTTTTAATTGTTTATGGAATGACCTCTAACTGAATTATTATATAAATTATCCATAATAAATATTTATTTTATTTGAATAACATTTATTAAATGAAAAATATAAATAGTAGTTCACTCAAACTTGTTTATGTATATAAAGATTAAAGGAGTAAGATATGATAAATAATATTATAATTGATATTCAATTTTTCCCTTTGAATTACTCTAGAATATATAATTTTTAGTTTACAATCTTCGCTTTACATTTAGGAACCTGATTGAGATGCCATTTTGGACATTCTTGATGCTACAAAATTAGAAGTTGTATTCTTAAAGTCTTTGTCAATTTTTTGTAATTCTTATAGTTATTTTCCTTCTAATTCTTTTTTAACATTAATATACTTTTATATTAATCTATAATAAACTAAAATTTTACTTTTCTTCTTCTGCTTTTTTAATTTTTCTTTATTCTTCTTATGCATTTTCTATTCTTTAATTTAATACATTAGTTTCATTATTTTGTTTAATCTTTTATTAAGAGAGGAGATTCTTAATTTTATTATTTCTCATTAAAGTCCATTTCTCTTACTCTTCTTTTTATAGCTATGCTATTCTGGATTGTATTTTATGTGCTTCCAAATATCTAAGATAAATTTATATATTTTACTCTTCTTATCTTGCTAATTATTCTTCAGTCTTTTTTAGACTCAATAATTCTGCAGAATCTTTTGGAGTTTATGGAATAGAACCTTCTAAATCTTATAGGAATTATTGCATTTCATCTTCTTATTTTTGTTATAGTTCATTTTTTAATTTCTAAGCATCCTATTCAAATTCTTCTATTTTTTCATCCCAAAAAGTATTAAAATTTTACATTTCTTCTTAATGTTATCTAGTTAGATCATATTTCTAAAATATATAATATAAATTAACTTCTTATTCATGTCTATCTCTTATATCTAATTTAGTTTTGGATTCGTATTTAATTTTAAGATCTTTCAATCTTTATTTTGCACAATCAGCTTCCAAATATTTACCTGCTTTCTCACAAGCTTTTTAGTGATCATAAAGTATTTTCCTATAATTAATTTGAAATAATTTACATGTACTCTTCAAGATTGTCTGTCTCTGGAGGTAGTGTATTCATTTTTGCAGTAGATGGTCTAACTCCACGATAATTATGCATTTTGGAAGAATAAAAATTTTATTTAATGTTATGATTAAAATAATGAAAATTTATATATTTAAATCAAATAATATTAATAATGTAAAAGTTTAATGGAGTTCGATCATTGGTGAATCTGAGTAAATTCAGAGCAAGCGATCACCATGTAAAAGCTACTCATCACCAACCAAATAGACCAGATTTAATGACTAAAGTCGATATTGATAAATATAGAGTTTTTATTAACATGCATCCAGAAGCAAGAGAGAGATTTTTTGCTACTTACACTTGGTTACCTAAAATCACACCGTATTTCATTATTCAATTACTTAACTAGACTATACAATTCAACTATTGCCAAATACATTGCAACTTCATTCTCAAGTGTCTAAGCTGAAGCTGTTTCTGATGTCTATTTCCCACCTAAAGTAATACATCAATTCAATTCCTTTAGCTTCATGAAAATGGCATCAATATATATACATCATATAGATTTGGAAAAGCCTTTAGATATGGCAGATCTTTAGAAATTGTGGGAGGAATCTTCTTCTTAACTACTAAATATCCCATCTATTATGCTTTGGTTGCCCTTTTTGGTTACACAGTTGGATTTAATGTATAAACTAATTATAAATCTTAGGCTTACTTTTATGAACTCACAAGAAGAACAGTTATCAGAATGGATTTATTACCTCATACACATTAAATAGTATGTCAAAAAGTAGGTGCTTTTGGGTAAGTGATCACTAAATTGCATCAAATATCTGATTTAGAACATGTTGATTTTTCAGAACAAGAAACAAAAGGTAATCCTTATTCTTTATTATTATTAATTTAGAGAATTACTTTTGGAATCTCCATTACCATAAATTAGATAGAAATTTAATTTTTAAAGATAAATCCACTGGAGAATATCTCACATTTGATAGTGAAGGATGGTGGGATAGATAAGCCTTAGAGCATGAATTGCTTAATTGATTATGATCAATAATATCAAAATTTAAATAAAAAATATTTATATATAACCAAATCTAATAGATTAAATGAATAATCATTTTCAATAACCCTTAAATAATTATAAATATTTTTTATCTTTTTCAAACATTATTAAACTCTTTCCAGTTGTACTTAAAATAGGACTTTAATAATTTCCATTAATTGTATGAATTAATTAAAATAATCCATTATTTTTTTCTTTTATTATAAGTATTTTATTTTTGTTTTTAAAAATTATCAGTTTATTCTTTTAAAAATATATCATAGGATTATATGAGTAATCATCATCATTTTCATTTAATGAAATTTCTTACATTTAAGATACCTCATTATTACCTATAATTTATATTATAATAATTTTTGGTTATCCAACAACTTAACAAGCTATTTAATTATCATTTATAAAACAAATTCTTTTAATCCACTCATTTTATTTCTTTTCAATAGATTTATTTAATTCCCATTTTTTATTTTTTATTTACCATATTTTTAATGTAAAATCACCAGAAGATGAAGCAAAAAGTGTATTAGATCTATTTATTGATAGATAATAAACATAATTTTTATGATTATCAAGTGTTTAAAAACAAAACCAATTTTTTTGATCTTTTTATTACCAAATTTTAATCTTAAAATCAAAACTAGATGATATAATTGTATTTTCTTCATTATTTATTTTTATATCACTAATGTAATTTTGATGTCCTTCTAAAGTTTATATACAACACCAACGATCTAAATTCAACTTCCATATCTTTAATGTTTGATCATCTGAACCAGAAACAAACCAATTTTATTATAAACTAAATTAAATACAAGTGACTTTTTCTAGATGTCCCTTCAATTAATCTATTTTATCAAACGCATAATTATCAAGATTCCAAATAGAAATATTTTTATCTTCAGAAATTGCTAACACTCTATCTTTATAATTAACTCCTATAGATTAACATAATTAATTAATCTAAATCTCATAAGCTAAAACAAAATCATTTAGATTTTTATTATCAAAATAAGAAAATATATTTTTTATCTCTTTAAATAATTCCTATAGTGATTTAGAAATTTCTATTAAAGAGTTTTATTATCTATTTGTTACTATTTTTTCATGTTCAACTGAAAAATCTATAGGTATAAATCGATCTCCTTTACCAATTTTTTCAGCTAATTCTTATAATTATGAAATAGTAGGATTTTATCCCAATTTCTCTAATTTCCCTTGTACATTATTCAAAGTCGAGACTATGTTTGATTATAACTATTAAAATTCAGTCTAAGCATACTAGAAAATTTGTATGCATTTATTCTATGCTTCTTGAAGGTGCTTAAATAAAGGTGATAGTTTTTTATTAAACTCTTATTTCTTGGTCTCAATCTAATTATTTTCCTTATCTTTTTGTTAATTCAACTTTTCATAAAAGGATTTCACAAATAAAACATTTTCTTTTTAGTTTCTTTCATCAAAACACTATTAACAAAGAGTTCTTAATCCAATTGGAGTTGATTTTCCTATATCTACCATCACTATCTATTGACCTCCATGCTATTAACAACTCAATTATACAATACTTTACATATCTATTAAATTTTATTTGTTATTTTTAAAATCATTTAATGTTTTTATTTAGATTTTGTAGAGTCAAAGGATAATCTATTTCATTATTTAAAGGTTCTTTCAATTATAATATATTATATATACACATTAATATAAAATCTTAATTTATTATTTAAATTAAATGACTGAAGAGCAGGGCAAATAACGATTTGCGTATACGGCACCAAAACAAATTTTAGAAGAAGCAGCATAAATTGGCGAAGACAATTAAACAAGAAAGTAAAATTTAGACAAAGTTGAAGAAAAGTTCAAGTACAAGCAAAAGAACCGCTAGTTGAGCCCAGAAAGAAAAGATGTGTTCAATGATTAAGGAGGTGAGAATGGGAGAACATATGCAGAAATCATGATCTAATAGGACTTGGAGAATTCCAGATCTGAAATTGAAAATAAAATCAAAAAGACAGAAACATTAAATAAAGAGGAAAAAAAATTAGTCAAATAATAAGTGAAGGTGGAATAAAATGTTTCTTAATAAATAAAATAGGAAAGATCAGAATGGGAATAAGAGAGCAAAGACGTTTCTAAAAAGCCTTAAAAATGGGAAACTCCATCAAGAGGTATTTTTAAATAGTTCATTAATATTTAGATGGTCCATAATCCTCTGCAAGGGCATCCAGATGGGATAATACTAATAAATTATAAGCCACACCAGGTCGAGCAGGAACAGTATTTGGAGAAACACCAACACCAGGACATATGGAAATTGGGGATACTCCTTATAAATATGGAGAAACACCCACTCCTAACCGTTCTTATATTAAAGCTAGATGGGGAGAAAGAACACCATTAGCAGGTCAATCTGGATTTGGAGGAGGTATGACACCTCATACACCAGGAACTGTAATGAGGACACCTATGACTCCAGGATAATTAGGAAATATGACTCCGGATAGAGTATATTAATTCAGATTGGAGAAAGAAATGGAAGAGAGAAATAAATATATGACAGATGAAGAATTAAATAGTATTTTACCAGGTCCAAAAGATGGTTATGAAGTAATGATAAATTAATAAAATAGATATTAAAAGCACCTGAAAATTATAAACCATTGAAATCATCATTAAAGAAATTACTAAATGCAAAAAATAGTATTGAATCTCCTGTTCAATATCAAATACCAGAATCTATTCGTATAGAAGTTTCAGCTACTCCATCTCATCCTACTATAGGTCAATTACCAGCAATTAAACCAGAAGAATATAATTTATTCTCAGCTTTATTATAACCAATTAATGAAGATGAATTAACTCCAGAATAAGCAAAAGAAAGAAAAATTATGGCTTTGCTTTTAAAAATAAAAAATGGAACTCCTTAAATGAGAAAGTCTGCTTTAAGACAAATCACTTAAAGTGCAAGAGAATTTGGACCTGCTCCATTATTCAATTAGATTTTACCATTATTAATGTCTCCCACATTAGAAGATTAAGAGAGACATTTATTGGTAAAAGTAATAGATAGAGTTCTATTTAAATTGGATGATTTGGTTAGGCCATATGTACATAAGATATTAGTTGTTATTTAACCATTGTTAATTCATGAAGATTACTATGCTAGAGTAGAAGCAAGAGAAATTATATCCAATTTAGCTAAGGCAGCTGGTTTAGCAACTATGATTACTACAATGAGACCTGATATTGATCATAATGATGATTATGTTCGAAATACAACTGCCAGAGCATTTGCTATTGTGGCTTCAGCTTTGGGTATACCAGCATTGTTACCATTTTTAAAGGCTGTTTGCTAGAGTAGAAAGAGCTGGTAGGCAAGACATACTGGTATTAAAATAGTACAATAAATCAGTATTTTTATGGGTTGTGCTATTTTGCCTCATCTGAAATCACTAGTTGAAATTATATAACATGGATTAAAAGATGAATAATAAAAAGTAAAATCTATTACAGCTTTAGCATTAGCTGCTTTGGCAGAAGCCTCCTTTCCATATGGTATTGAAGCATTTGATAATGTGCTTATTCCTTTATGGGAGGGCATTAAAACTCATAAGGGTAAAGGATTAGCAGCATTTTTAAAAGCAATAGGATTCATTATTCCATTAATGGATGTAGAACATGCAACAGAGTATGTTAAAGCAATTGTTCCTATATTGAAAAACTAATTTGAAATATAGGAAGAAGAAATGAAGAAAATTGTATTAATGGTAATAAAATAATGCATATAATGTGCAGGTATAGAGGCTGTTTATGTAAGAGATCAAATAATGCCTGAATTTTTCAAATATTATTGGAGTAAAAGAACAGCCACAGACAGAAGAAATTATAGATAAATGGTTGAAACTACATGTGAAATAGCTGCTAAAGTAGGAGCAGCAGAAATATTAGAAAGAATTGTAGGTGATTTAAAAGATGAAAATGAATCATTTAGAAAAATGGTTGTAGAAACTATAGAAAAATTCATAAATTAATTAGGAGTATCAGATATAGATTAAAAATTGGAAAATAGATTAATGGATGGTGTATTATGGGCATTTAATGAATAATAAAGTGAAGATACATAAACAATGCTTAGTGGATTTGGATCTATTATTAATGCATTTGGCAGTAGATCTAAACCTTATTTCAGTTAATTAGGTGGTGTTTTATAATGGAGATTATCTAATAAATCACCAAGAGTTAGATAATAAGCATCTGATTTGATTGGTAAAATAGCAGTATGCATGAAGAATTGTTAAGAAGAAGCAAGATTAGGAAGATTAGGCTAATTATTATTTGAATGTCTAGGTGAGGAATATCCAGAAGTTTTGGGATCTATCTTAGGAGGATTAAAGGCAATAGTCAATGTAATAGGAATGAATAAGATGTCACCTCCTATTAAAGATTTATTACCAAGATTAACACCCATCTTAAAGAATAGACATGAGAAGGTTTAAGAAAATTGCATTGATTTAGTTGGTAGAATTGCAGATAGAGGACCAGAACATGTTTCTCCAAAAGAATGGATTAGAATATGTTTTGATTTGTTGGATTTATTGAAGGCTCATAAAAAAGGAATAAGAAGAGCAACAATAAATACATTTGGTTATATTGCCAAAGCTATAGGACCATAAGATGTCTTATCTACTCTTTTAAATAATCTTAAAGTTTAAGAAAGATAACTTCGTGTTTGTACAACTGTAGCAATTGCAATTGTGGCAGAAACATGTGGTCCTTTTACTGTTTTACCTGCTTTAATGAATGAATATAGAGTTAGAGAATTAAATGTTCAAAATGGTGTTTTAAAATCATTATCATTTATGTTTGAATATATAGGTCCAACAGCATATTCTTATATTAATTCAGTTATTCCATTATTAATTGATGCCTTGACTGATAGAGATCTTGTTCATAGATAAACTGCTTCATCAGCTGTTAAACATTTAGCACTTGGTGTATAATGTTTAGGATGTGAAGAATAACTTATGCATTTATTGAATCATGTTTGGCCAAATATTTTTGAGACATCACCTCATGTTATTAATGCTGTTATGGAAGCAATAGAAGGGATGAGAGTCAGTCTTGGACCAGGAAATATTTTACTTTATGCATTATAAGGCCTTTATCATCCTGCAAGAAGAGTAATATTATATATTTAATTATTAGGTAAGATTGATTTATTGGAGAATTTATAACATGATATATGTTGGCAGTTCTGATGCTTGTGTTGCATTTTACCCAACATTTCCCAATGATCAGTATAATTCTTATGATAAATACGAATTAAATCTAACATTATGAGTGTTGAAAATATTTGAAATAATATATATAAATTATCATAACATATTATACTTTATGTTTTATCTTATAAAAATTATGAACTAATCATTATGGCTTTTAATAGATGATAAAATCAAAATATTTAACTATACATTTATAGAAAAACATAATAGAACTTTAATATTTATAATCAATTATTGAAACCTATTACTAAATTAGAGATTTCAAACAGAATTTTGATCATAATTATATTAAAATTAACATTTATATAGTCATATATATATATATTGAATATTTCTGGAAGTGATTAATTCATTATTGTAAAATAAGAATAAAATTTAATTAATCCAAATACTTTCATTAGATAAATAACAATATTTATATTAAAAAATATTATTCAAATTGAAGTAATGGATTCGTTTTTTCATAAAGATTCAATTATTAAGATAGTAGTATTTCTATTGAATTATATTGAAAATGAAAATAAATACAATTAAAAAAAAAATAGTTTAAATTTTTATTGATTAACCATCTTATATTATTTAATTTTCTCAATAAATAATTTATATAAATAATTACATTATAATTATTTAGTGATGAAAACTAAGGAGTAATTATTTATAATCTTTATTATATGTCACTGAACATTTTAAACAAGAGGACAAAAGCAATTAAATTTCAGTATTCAAATTCTATATAAAATGAGTTTCTGAATAATCAAAGTTTTATATTATTATTGTATAATTTTAATAAATATTGAAATTTCTTTAGTATTTTATTAAAGAAATTTCATATTAAACAACGTCTATAAAGTCAAAGAGTCTATCATTTTATTTTTATTGTGCTTATCCCACGTTAATTATATATAATTAATAACATATTTGTTTTTAAATACTGAACCAAGTACATGGAATAATTATAAATTCTTTACAACAAAGAAATTTAATAATTGGAAAAATAATCATGAAAGATGGGAGTAAAAAGACTTATCTATGGTTAGATTTTTGATTGTTTATTTCTCTTAAATTGTAGATAATTTAATTTTAGTAAACATCTTTAGGTCTGCCTTAATAATGTTAATAAGTTTCCTTGAAATTTTAGAGTTTCTAGATAAGGATAGGATCAACAATAATTGTATGTTATTAGCTAATAGGGATAGTAACTAAGCTTTTTAGGGTGGAAATTATGGAAAAAATAATATAGAAAAGGGGCACAGTACTATTAAAGGTATTAAAAACTGATGAAAATATTTATTGGAAGAATTGAGCAAAATTTGTTGGATTTACAAATATTTGATGGACTAGTATATTTTTTAAGATAGACAGTATAATATTGTAGGGGTTTGATATTTCTCAAGTAAGAAATTTTATAATTTGATAATGTAATTTTCTTCATTAGCATTTGAAAAAAAAAGGAAAATAATAATGTTATTGTTCAAAGAAATTTGAAAAATCTTATGCATTAATAATAAACTCAGACTATAATTAAGATAAAAATAGAACAATGTTAATAAATATATATATATACACAATCAATTAAAAAATTGATTTAAATTATCTTATTGAAGTTGACCAATATTTATAAACCAATTAATCTTAACAAATCTTGATTATATTTAATTTTATGATTTAAATAAAAGAACATCTACCCAAGGAATGGTTTGATTTTATCGAATAAATCAAGATTTTGAATCCAATTGATGAAGAAAAAGTTAAATAATTTGTAAAAGTTCGAGTCAGCCAATTTCCATCTGACTAATAAATGAAATAATACTACGAAGAAGTTTTTTCAAAGTATTTGCATCTTCCTACTATATTTAGATCGACTAATGATTCTAATAGAAAGAAGTGGCATCAACAAGACAAGATTCTGCTTATTTGGTGTATGACAAAATACTTGATGTCTTAAAATAGATCTGACCTAATTCCTGTAATAGTTTTTATTTATTGTTAGAATGATAGAGATTGGGAATATATATCAAAAATACTATGTGTAGATAAGTAATTGGTTGAATTAAAATGGATATCCTTACTTCATTCCAATCTAAAAATCTCTCCTTGGACTAAAGAAGAAGATTAGATTTTGACAGATATTGCAAGGTAAGATTTTTATATATTTTAGTTAATACTATTCAAAAAATAATTGGACAGAACTAACCATAATGTTTAATTAATTGTCTTAGACTTAGAGATATCCTAAATAAATAAGAGAGAGATGGAACAATGTACTTAATCCAAACATCTCCAGATCAACTTGGACAAAGGAAGAAAAAATTAAACTCATTCAACTAATTTTAGATTATGGTAAAAAATGGTCTAAAATACAGAATTAAATGAATGGTAGAAGTGAAAATTAAATCAAAAATCAATATAATGGAATCATTAGAAATTTAAAACGATTTAATGTAATTTTCTATTTATATATTTCAGGTTTAAGAAACTGAAGAGAGATCCTTACTCAAAGCTATAGTATAGAATCCAGATTAAAAATTAAGTTTGACAGTTACATAATTTATGTCTGACTTCTTGGCCAAGAAAGAAGCTTAAAAAAGAATTGATACTCCATTATTAAATACTAAGATGGAAGGTTCCAATTTGAAAAAACCTAAAGTAGAACTACTATCTCTTGATAATGGAATAAGTGCTACAAGTAACATAATCTATTGATTTTTTAGATGTATCCTAAATTGAAAAAATAAAAATAACTCAGGATACTTAGAACTAGATTGCTTAAACAACAAACTTATTTCAACAGTAAAATAACCATTTCTCTGTACCTTAAATTTAACCATAATAAATTTATTATGGAAACTAATATTGTATGCCTAGTTTCCCTAATACATATATGAATTATGCTCCAACTAATTAGATATATCCAAATTATCATTAATTTCCTATTAACTTAGGATTTTAACAATAATTACAAATTTACCCAGGATACTTCTGATTTGTTGATGCATAAGTGAGCAAAATATTGATATATATATTGAATAATATATTATTATTAAAATTGATATTCAACAAAACTCACATCAAATGCAACTAAGATCAGTAAAATTTGGATTCTAAAAAATGTAAATAAATTCAAATCACTTAAAAAGTAACAAAAGGAAATGTTTATAAAATAATTTAAATAAAATTTCGAGAATCATTATAATTATTAAAATTATAAACTGTTGACTTATTTTAATTAAATTATT